TTGGCGTCTATCACTTGACCTTAGACCACTCCTCTTAGTCGATGAATGGAGGCCGTTCATCCCTCCAGCCCCACATAGGCCCAGCATCCTCCTGCCAGTCTCTCTGAGAGGAACCAGCAGATCTCCGAAATTTCTCACCTGCTAAACTTTTTAAAAGGACCTATACTTGGGCCCCATCCCCTCAGAGTAGTTAAATCAGAATGGGGGGTGAGATCCACACAAGAGTGCTTTTTTAAAATTTATTTATTTGTGCATACAAGAACTAGATGTAGGCCAGAGGTACAGGAGGTGAGAGGATTCCTCAGAGACAGAGCGGGGAACAGAACAGGCAGATCTACTGAAATACACTGCTGAGGGGAGCAGCGGGCCAGACAGGAGAGATCTGCGCCATGTGGGTTAGCTCTCTGGCTGGGTATCAAACTCGAGCTGCAGTGGCTGGCTATAAATTAATAGCCCTGAGACTTTAACCCTAGCACCACCAAGGAGGCCCCAGAAAAGAGTGTTTTTAAGAACCTTTTAGAGTGATGCTATTGTGTAGTCAAAACTGAGAAGGGGTGAGTTGACCAACTTAAAGGAGCAGATCCAGCCACACCACACCTTTCTACCTCACGCCCTCACTACCTTCCCAAAGAAGACACAGCCATTGGACACATCAGCCAAAACCAAATATAATTAGGATGGGGCATCGGTGACAGGAGAAAAAGTGTGTGAGGGGATGACATTCCAAGGCCAAATTGAAGAGAGTTTGTGATTATCTGTGGAAGAAGGCGAATTCCTGTTGTAATTTTAATGACGAGAGTTTTTATTCACCTTCAATAGGGCGGATAATTGACTCACTGCAGGTCCGCCTCATTTCTCTGTCATTGCTGGGGAATGAGGTGTTTTTAAGTGGATTTTCTAGATAACTGAAGCTTATCCTTGTGAACCCTAACTTTTTTTTTTCATTTAATCACTCTGGGGGGAAGTTTCTATGAAAGAGATTACACACTTCCCTGCTTCCTTAATCAGAATATTCTAAATTGAATGTAGCCTCTTCCTGTCAATTTGTATATGAGGGGTGATTTGCCCCTATACTAATGACTCCAAGTAGCTTTTTTTAGTTTACAAATGTTTTCTCTTTATTTCTTGGTCCCCCATGGTGACATGGAGCTTTTGCTACATATTTTTAGGACCCCCCAAAAATATTCACACACACAGACACAAATGTATGCATGTGCATCTGTTAGAACATGACCAAGGGGTAACCAGGAACCCCCAAACTTGCATGCTTTAAAGGATTCTGGCCATCTATGTGCACATAGGCAAAACAGACACTTAGCGTGAAGGAATTTTAATACAATTAGTATGTATAGAGAGGGAAGAGAAGAGAGGGTATTTTTATCAAGAAATCACCCCAAATTACCCAACCCCTGTGGGCAAAGGCCCAGCCAAACAGGGTCTGCCCGAAATGTGGCTACTGAGGTCTGAAAACTTGCCACAAGTTTAAGGGAAACCACAGGAAAGAAGTTCTGAAGTATGTCCCAGAGGTTGGGACAAAAGAAGACATCACATCAAGATAAAGGCTGCTATTGTCAGCCTCCCCCATGCCTCTCACCCATGCATCCTTTCCAAGTGTCTTTACATGTCTTTCCCCCACATGTCTTCTGCCCTGCAGTACAAGGGTGCAAGTCGGGTTGCAGGAACAAGAGGAATCCCACCTTTCCTAGCCCACCTGCCTTCCATGTTCTATAGCTTCAATCTGGCGCTCAGCTCCGCCCCTCATTAAATGGGGCAGAGAATGTGGCACTTCCCTTGACATATCTGTACGTGCACGCACATGCTAATCAGTGGTCTGGGAACCAGATTGTCAAGCTTAACAGAATCGTGATTATCTCTGCTCCTCTAATACCCTAAATTGCCCTTATTCGGCACTTGCATGGTGTGCCATAAATGCTGTTCCAGCATCTCTATCCCCACAAGACTGTACACTCCCAAAGGGCAGGCCACTTTCTGGCACTGGCAGTACATGGTAATGTTTGTTGAACTGAGGTGCAGCTATGCGTCCTACTGGGTTTTTCTATGCCCGAGAGAATGGAGGTCACCCGATGGGCAGAATGTAACTGTATGCTCTATGGTGCACCTTGGACAACCTGACTTTGGGTGTCAACACTTTATTACAGAGGAAACAGCCCTAACAATGAGGAGAAGGAACCCTTTGTTCTAGTCCTGTGTGGTTCAGTGACAGAGAGCAAGTGGCTAGTCTCCATAGTGTCCCTGCCTTTGTGCTTGGCAATTGCCACCCTGTCCCCAAAGGTACCTCCTAGTCTCCTCAGAGTCATCAGTCAGAAAGTGTCCCACTTACCGGCAGTGGAACAAGCTGGAGGCAAAGCACTTGGACTTGCCCTTGACTATGACCTTGAGCAATCACTTAATCTATCTGACCCTTTATTTCCCCATCTAGAAAATGGAGAAATAATAGAAACTAACACCAGGGTTGGCATGAGGATTAAATTTTAACAATGTCTGGAGAACTACTAGCATGGTGTCTGGTACGTAGTGAGCATTTAAAATGTGATTGTCATTGGTATTAAATTCAAGTCCCAACATATGCACATCAAACATGCAATTTGAACTACATGTACTTGGCAACAAAGGAAGATAGAGAAATGGTACAGTAGGTAATTCCGCTCATTTTTGCTGAGTGTATGTCCCAGAGAGAGGGTGAAGTGGGAGATACTGGGGAGCTGGTCCCCCGTCATACCGTCCTGTGAGCCAATTTCTGTGTAAGTGGAGGTTGTAACTGTATTTGATTTTTTTTTTAAAGATTTATTTATTTATACAAGAACAGGGTTATAGGCCAGATATGCGGGAGGGTGAGAGGACTCACCAGAGACAGAGTGGGGTGCAGAACAGGCAGACTGACTGAAATACACTGCTGAGGGGAACAGCGGGCGAGACAGGAGATGTCTGCTCACCATGTGGATATCTCCATGGCTGGTGGGGATCGAACTGGCACTGCAGAGGCTGCGGACAGCTTCACAGTGCTGTTCTTAACTGCCTGCGCCACCAGGGAGGCCCTGGATTTAATTTTTACCTCACTGTAGTATCAGGTAGAAAATGCAAAATGAGGCTCACTGAAAACTTCAGCAGCTCAGTTTGTGTGTGTGAATGTTTGGGGCACAGATGAAGGAGGAATGAAACAAGACGGGGTGACTGGGATTCTGGACCCATGGTGGTTCCCTCTACTAAAGGATGAGGTCTGCACTCCATGACATTCACCACTTGACCCTGCTCAGCCAGTGGGAGTGCTTGCAATGGGCTTGATAAGACTGACAGTGATTCCCCCATCAACCTGTTTGTCCCCAAAGATCCCAGGTGCTGGGCATTTTTGAACCTGAGCTCTGCCATGCCCAGCACTCCAGAGCTACTGTCTCTTTACTCTTACTGTGCCTGCCCCAGTCATGCCTTCCCCGAGCCCACTCACCCACCCCTTTCCTCTCAGAATAACTAAAGCCTGGAATCACTGGAGCTGAAAAGTCTAATGATCACCCTCCCTGCCGCGGGCAGTATGGTGAGGAACTACTCCAGGACTGAGGATTTCTTGGAATGAGGGACTTTCAGTGCTGAAACCAGGACTGTTGGTCACAGTGTTGGGCAGACAAGTGTGACAGCTTTTATAGTCACTTCACATGACTTCTAGGAAGTCTTGCTTGGCCTTCTCAGCTGGAAACAATCTTTCTCTCCACTGAACTTCTACATTATTTGTGCCTATCTGTCCATGCCTGAGCTCCACCCATTCACACACCCCCCCCCACCATCCAGGAATTGAGTGAGACTGTGGTCTGAGGACGTTATGTTACTGTGTGTCCTATATGCACGAGCTGAGGGTCAGAGTAGGATGTGGCAGCAGGCGGGGTGACATACCTAGCACACTGCCTCATAGCCCCTTTTCACAGCTGGAGAGGAAATTTCTGCAAAGCTGGCTCTGATATCACTCTTTGAAACCGTTAATTACATATAAAGATCTTGAAGACTGTCTGTCACCTCCCAGGGAAATATTTCCTTTTCTTGCTCCATCTGAAGCTGACTGCTTAGAAAATAATGAAATTGAACTGAAGATGAAGGAGCCAGGGGGAGGAGGCAATACTGAAAGGGAAAAGCAGCAGGTGGGAAGGGTGACCTGGAGATGGAGCCAAGGGAGGGCAGGAAGTTAAAACCTCTGTACTGGAGAGGGAGACGCAAGAGGAGAGAAAAGTAAAGTTTCTGGAAGAGACAGATAGAGGCATTGAAGATAAAGGGGAGCTGGACCAGACTGGCCTGAGGAAAGGGGGTAGGGTGGCAGGGAATTGTGGTTGCAGGCTGGAGAGAAAGGGCCTGTCTGAGAGGAACATTGACAACTTACCAAACAGAGTAAAGCCTGGGCCTCCCTCGTGGTGCAAGGGGTTAAGTACAGCACTATGAAGCTGATCACAGCCTCTGCAGCAAGAGTTCCATCCCTGGCCAGGGAGCAACCCACATGGCACAGCAGACCTCTCCTGTCTCACCCACTGCTCCCCTCAGCAGTGTATTTCAGTCAATCTGCCTGTTCTGTTCCCCACTCCATCTCTGGTGAATCCTCTCACCTCCCCACACCTCTGGCCTGTATCCCCGTTCTTATATGCACAAATAAATAAATCTTAAAAAAAAAAAAAAGAGTAAAGCCTGTGGCTCCAGAATTTCAGGACAGGACAGAGGTTACAGAGGGGGAGCCATTGGTTGGAAGGGAATGGCCCCAACTGGGAGACAGAGTCACGAAACGTGTTGAGGAAACAAGCTTCTTCACTTATGTGATATCTGGGTGACTTAGTAAAGAGCTGATGGAGGTTAGGAGAGCCAGGCTTCCACCCACACAACCCTTACTGCCTCCACTCCAGGGAAGAGTGATACAGAGGTGGGAAGTCCTCATGAGCCGAGATTCCAGGGTTCTCTGCCCCAGGGAGGGCCTTTGGGCCTCTTAGGCCTGACAGTCTCCTTTCTTGCAGGCTGTGACAGCGACCACTGGGGCCCCCATTGCAGCAACCGGTGCCAATGCCAGAACGGTGCCCTGTGCAACCCCATCACTGGTGCCTGTGTGTGTGCCGCCGGCTTCCGCGGCTGGCGCTGCGAGGAGCTCTGTACCCCTGGCACCCACGGCAAGGGCTGCCAGCTGCCGTGCCAGTGCCACCATGGTGCCAGTTGTGACCCCCGCACCGGCGAGTGCCTCTGCGCGCCCGGCTACACTGGCGTCTAGTGAGTAAAGGGATTACTGGGTATGGGGGGTGGGTTGGGTGCCGCTGCCCTCACCAGCCTCTAGCACATAGGCAGGCTGGTGGGAGCAGAAGGAGGGTCCCCCATCCTCCTAGCTGTAAAATCTGCAGTCACCCCATGTCCTGCAGAGGATAAGGGAGACCCTTCCTAGTCAAGGTCCAGGACCCCTCTTCTGGTCATAACCCAGAAGCCACTGCTCACATGGAGCCTGGCCCATCCAGGCTATTTGAGACAGAGGTGAGAGAGGCGCCTGGATAGATATGCAGAGACAGGAATTTTACTGTGCCTCTTCCTCTCCCCTACTTTCTCCCACCAGACCCCAAACACCCTCTCACTACAGTTCCCTGGAATCTGTAGTGACTGGGGACTTCCAAGGCTACTTAGCTGCACCCTCTCCGAGACAAGATTGATGTTCTCCTTCCTACCCTGTGGAAGGTGCTGGCTTCCCTACAGCCTGGATCCTGAAGTCACCCAAGACTCAGGCTGCAGACACATCCTTGACTGAGGGTGTTCCCTGCCCTGTCTGCCAGCTCCAGCTAGTGGCCAAGGCCAATGGACTAAGGCCAAGACCCCATGCAAATCCTTCCCCTCATCTCATCAGTGCCCACCTCACTCCACCCCCCACCCCACACATAAGCCTGTCATGGTAGCTGAGATTCTTCCAGAGCCTGGAGGGGGGTGCAGTGGAGAGGAGGCACAGGCCCAGATGCTCCTGCTCTCTGAATCCAGGGAGATTTCTGAAGGCTGCTCTGTGGTCACCTCTCACTGCCTTTGCTCATGCTGTCCCTTCTGCCTGTCCCTCCCTCCTAGTCTCCTGGTGAAACTAACTTCATCTTCCAGACCCAAGTAAAATGTCTCCCTCTTAGGATTATGCTAAGTGAAATAAGTCAGAAGAAAAAGATAAATACTGGATGGTTTCACTTCTGTGTGGAATATAGAGAAACCTAACAAAGGGTCAGACAAAGACAACTGATCACAGATCTAAGGCATCTAGGAGGGGAGGGACAGCGGAGGGGTGAATGCAAGTGGGGGAAGAGCACAATGGGCTCTGGTGGAGGACTGTGGGTACTTTAGTGGTGAGAGAACTGCAATGACCACACCTGAGGAGAGAAAACCTATACTATCAAAAAATGAACAAGTATGTAAGAAAAAGATACTTCATTTAAAAAATTAATTAAAAAATAAATAAAAATATCTTTTTTTAAATTTTTTTATTTTTTTAAACAATATTTTCTTCCCCCTACCCCCTTGGGTTGAGTCCCCATAGAATTTCCTTCCCCAAGGCACCCATGCACCATCACCACAGTCCCCTATTCTCCTCCCTTCCTCCCTCTGGCCCCTCTCCTGCCATCTCCCCTGCAGTATGTCTCTGTAAAAAATATCTTTATAGCAAAAAATAAAAAAGTCTCCCTCTTAGGGAAAGCTTCCTCAGCCTTCCCTCCCCAAAAATACACTAAAAGCACTTAAGTCATCCCACAAGTACCCGCCCAGCACACAATGTTCCTGTTTCTTCTATAGGAGCCCTGCTTCCCCCTCCTGTCAGGGAGCAGAACTGCATCTCAGCGGACCCTGTGCCCAAAATAGTTCACATTGACTGTGAACTCACTAAACTCCTGGGGAGTGCTGGGCCATTGGAACTGGCAGCGCTGTGGCCCTGCCATCTGCTCTGAGTGCTGCTGTTTCTAACCCCCTCTGCTTCCCCTTGCAGCTGTGAGGAGCTGTGCCCACCCGGGAGCCACGGGGCTCACTGTGAGCTGCGCTGCCCCTGCCAGAATGGGGGAACCTGCCACCACATCACCGGCGAGTGTGCCTGCCCCCCAGGCTGGACGGTAGGTGGCCCTGCAGAGTCTGGGTTGGGCGCCCCCACTCACAAACTGTGGAGAGCCACAATCCTCTTCCACCCTTAATACCCTCCTTCTGGCTTATGTCATGGCCTCGTTAGATACTGGGGTGGTGCCACAGACACAGCTTTGAATCTCAGATCTGCCATCTAAGTGCTGTGTGCCATGAGGAACTTACTCTTCATGTGGCCCCTCAAGTGCAAAGTTGCTGAGCTTACTGAGCGGTTCTGTCTGTGGGCGTGGGTGTTACTTGAGCTGCAAAAATTCTTGGGCCAAATGATGCTGAAAGGACTGGTGTAAGGACAGGGGAAGAGGAGATCGCAGATTCCCAACTTCCACCAGCATTCACACACACAGACACGCATGCACGCACACACACTGTATGGGCCCCCACATCTGTTTCAGGTGCTCCAAGTAATTTCAATATCAGGTGCTCCAAGTAATTCAGCCTTGAGTCCAGGTCTTGTGCCTGGGAAACAGCATTTTGGGAGAGGGGGATGGGATTTATAACCTCACAGGCCTAAATGCAGGTCTTACACCTAATGTTGACCCTGAAAAAGTTCCACAGTTACTCTGGTCTCTGTTACCCCATCAGCAAAACTGACATAACCACAGTAAGCCCTGCCCTGCATGATTTCCCTGATGAGAGAAGGCTCAGATGAGACAGTGTATGTCAGCAATGCCTTGCAAACTCTGAAGTTCTCTACAACCGCTTGTTTTATTTATCCCTGGATGCCACAGACAATCAATAAGCCTCTTTTAAGCTACTGTGCTCCACCTGTCAGTGCCCCCCATTCCACCCCTGCAGATCCATGCTCCTCAGAAGCAGAGACACTAAGGCTGGCTTTCCCAGGCTGCATCCCTGCCTCAGACCATCTAGTAACCCACATGTCAGGGGAATCAGGGGAATCTCCGTGACACAGCTGGTTGCCTCCCCTGGGGCCTGAGGCTTTGCAAAGCCACAGATGACTGGGCTGCTGAGCAGGAGCAGAATATTTCGGGAGGCTGCAAACATGGAGGTCATAGGGGCGGGCAGGAAGGACGCCTGCGGGGACCATTGACGCAAGCACAGATTTTGTCAGAATTTTTTAGGACAGGAAAGGACCTAGGGGGATCAACTGGCCCAACAGCATTCAAACATGTACAGCAGAGTCACTGGGCACGGGGTTAGGTGTAAAATACCGATTTCCAGGCTTCACGGAGAACTTCTGGGGCCCAGGATCTCTATTTTTAATAAGCTCCCAAGATGATTCTGAGGCAGCCAACCATGTCTGCAAGTCTGCATTTGGAAATAATTGATTGAGACCATAGGATTTCCTTCTGTGCTTCTCAGAACCCTAGGGTGTCTTGGTGGGAGCGAAGGAGGGGGAGCCTAATAATTAAGACTCTTGACTCACACACACCCCCACTTTTCCATTTTAATCTACTTTCTATATTGAGATTCTAAGTAAGTTTCACATGAAGACAGGGTCTCCCAACTTGAGGAGGTTTGGACACCACTGTCCATCATCAATACCTTCCTTTCTCAGATGAGGAAGCTGCTGCTCAGAGAGGCTAAGTGACCTGCCCAGGGCCACACTGCCAATTAAGAATGAGGTGGAGCTAGAATCCAGATCTCTTGACTCCTCAATTCCAGCCCTCAGTGTGGTGTGTGTGTGTGTATGTACGTATCTTCCAGTCCCTCATTTGAGAAAGACAAAGGGGGTTGCAGCCCCTCTCTCACATCTGCCCATTTCTCCCACTCGGAAAAAGCAGTCTTATCTCCAGCCAGCTTCCAGAATTCCACCCCCATAGCTGGGTCCTCAGAGGCTTGCCGTGGGCACTGAGGTCACCTCCAGATGTTGTGGGGGGACAGCTGGCCACAGGCAGGCCGGTACCTGTAACGGCTTCTTTAAGGCAACTGAAAGGGCGGGGAGAAAGGAGAGAGCAGCACGTGGAGGGATTTTTTTCCTCCCCGACAGTGAGAGGTTTTTCTTCTAGATGATAGGAACCTTTGTCAATAAGAAGCCTTTGGATTTGGGGATTTTGTGTTTTTAATTTTATTGTAGACAACTGCATTTCTATTTTTGACACAGCATTTAACTTGCAGATTTGTATGAATTATTAATGCCCGTCATGCGTGCAGAGTCACAGTGTAATGAGGCTGCAGCTCAGGCCCAAGGCCCCTCACAGGGAGCACTGTGGCTGTGGAGAGTACCGGGCAGAAGGTTCCCCCCTTTACCATCCTCCTTTGCCTCACTTTCTCCTTGGCCCAGGTGGCTCCACTCACACTCAGGGCTCGTGAACAGGATTGCTGACCCACGTGATGTGTGTCCCACAGGACAGAGGCATGGCACAGAGCTGGAGAGGGGCCTCCAGGACCTCTGGCCCTGCAGCCCGCCCCCAGACATTCCCAGCTACCAGGCCCTGACTGTGCACAGGACATGCCACTTGCTGGGCCGTCATTTGTCCTTTCCAGGAGGCGCCTTCGCAAGTAGCAGGGGGCATGTTCCCTCTATTTTTCTGGGCTCTGCGACCTTTCAGAGGAGAGAGGCCAAGCATGAGTAGTTTGATGAGAGCAGGCACTGCAGAGAGATGGGGTGGTTAGAGGAGAGGTAATCAGCCCCTTCGGAGTCCCCAGTCTGATGGTGGAGGCTGGATGTCGTGTGCGGATGTGTGCTCACACACGTGCACTCAGAGGAAATAGTCGAGAGGTGGTGCCAGTGATTGGGAGGGTCAGACAGAGGTGGCGGGAGCTGAGGCTGCAGAATCATAGATGCTCAGGTCTGGGAGGGGTGATTCATGGGCTCCCATGCCCTAGTCTGGGGCCTGGATCTTTTTCTTAGCACCCGTACTAACCACACTACACTGTCTGTTGAGAGCCCCTGAGCCACCCTGGGACAGCAGTGATCATTAGGAAGGCCTTCAGAGGCTGGGTTGCCTCCATTGGCATGGCCTTTGCCATCTTGGCCTCCTCCTTTTTGAAGTTCTACTTGACCACAATTCTCTTAAAGTGGAGTTGGTTTCCAGACTTTGTCAAAGCCATTTGGTCCAGCCAGTTCTGAGGGGAGCACACGTGCCTCACCATGTCTCCAGCTTTGTACATGCCCCACAGCCCAAGCCCCACTGCAGCCGGAAGCTTGCGCTCAGTTGACTGTGAGATGGGTGTGTTAGCAGCTTGGCTGTCAGCATCACACCGACTAGGTGGCTCAAACAGCAGACTCAATTTTCTCGAAATTCTGGAGGCTAGAAGTCTGAGGTCCAGGGGTCACAGCGTTGGCTGATTCTGAGGCTTCTCTCCTTGCCTTATAAAGGGTTTCTTCTCCCCATGTCACCACCTGGCCTTTCCTCTGTGGTGTCTGTGTCCTCGTCGCTTCTTCTTACATGGACATCTGTCCTATTGCATCAGCATGACTCATTTCAACTTTGTTACCTCAGTAAGGCCCCTTACCCAGTCACATTCTGAGATACAGGGGGGTGAGGGTAGGATATATAAATTTGGGGGAGACATAGTTCAGCTCATAACAGCAGGAGAGAAGCCATAAGCCACAGCCCTCTCAAGCTGACACTTTCCCGCATGCTTTCTCCCCCCGCATCGCCTCAAAAAGCTGTCCTTCCAAACAGCAGGGGCTGATTACTTGTGTGATTCTCTCCCACTGCTTATATGAGGCCCCTGCCATGTGCTGCCTCATCAGGGGTCTGCTTGGCTTGAATTCATACTAAGCAAATCCTGCTCTTTAAGGCTCTGTGGTAGGTTCCGTCACATCCCTAATCTCACTTCATCTTCACCCAGACTAGGGGTTACCACTCCCATTTTAGAGATGGGGGAACTGATGCTCAGAACGACACCATGATTTGTCCCAGCACAGCCATCTGGGAAGAGGTAGAGTGGAGATTTGAGCCAGTTCTTGACTCTAAGGTCCATGTTCTTTCCACCACACCAGGCCACAGAACTTCCAAGGGACCCTGTCCCTTCAGACCCTGGGAACTCCCTTAGTCCCTAGGCCTAAGGAGAGGCCTAGGGACTCAGGAACCTGGGGTGCTGTGTGTGGGGGGGGCGCTATTTGTACATATGTGTATGTGCATTCACATGTATAAGTGTGTGAAGGTCCCATACTGCTCCGTGTTGGGAAGGTTACAGGTATAAGTGCAACCCTCCAAGAGAGCTCAAAATGTTTCCTCCAGATAAGATGTCCCTGTCCAGCCCAGGGCCAGGGAAGACTGACTCAAGACACTGGCCAGAGACTCCTCTTCCCCAAGGAATCCCTAGAGTTTATGGGGTGCAGTGTTTTCAGACCCTGCCATGCCTGAGATAGCCCCTCCTCTGAGTGGCATCTCCCCTCACCCCTCCTCACATGCATAGCTCACTCTCCTGGGGCTCTCCCTCTGCCCCCTCAACCTTCCCTGCCCTGCCTGCTTTCAGTCCCCTGAGCAAACCCTCATAATGTCCTAACTATGTGTGGGGGAGAAATCTCAGCTAAAAGTCCTCCCATTTAATTTGGTACAAGTAAATTAAATGATACTGAAAGATGACTTGGGCCTGGCAAGATTTTCCTGACTAGCTTCCTCAGGGTTAGCAATTATGGGTGCTTAATTGTTGTGTGTTGAACTAACTGATTAATTAACTGGGGGAGAATCCTTGATCTCTGTAAGAGAAATGACTACCCCTGGTGTGGGAGAAGCTAGAAAGGTGGCAGGAAACAGGAACAGGTTAAGAATTCCATTTGAGGGGCCTCCCTGGTGGCGCACCGGGTGAAGCACAGCACTATGAAGCAATCTGCAGCCTCTGCAGCATGAGTTCGATCCCCCAGCCGGCCAGAGAGGAACCCACATGGCACAGCAGACCTCTCCTGTTGCGACCGCTGCTCCCCTCAGCAGTGTGTTTCGGTCAGTCTGCCTGTTCTGCTCCCTACTCTGTCTCTGGTGAATCCTCTCATCCCCTGAACCTCTGGCCTGTACCCCCGGTCTTGTATGCATAAAAAAAAAAGAGGGCCTCCCCTGGTGGCGCAGGCGGTTGAGCACAGCTCTGTGAAGCTGTCCACAGCCTCTGCAGTGTGGGTTCAATCCCGGCTGGCCAGCGAGGGTCCCATATGGCGCAGTAGACCTCACATGGTGCGGCAAACCTTTTCTGTCACGCCCGCTGTTCCCCTCAGCAGTGTATTTCGTCAGTCTGCCTGTTCTGTTCCCCGCTCTGTCTCTGGTGAATCCTCTCACCTTCCCGTGCATCTGGCCTATACCCGGTTCTTGTATAAATAAATAAATCAATCTTAAAAAAAAAAAAAAATTCCGTATGAGAAAGACCTAGGTTTCAGAGGTGTAATTTCCAAAGTCACTTAGACCCACAAGGCTGTGACTGGGTGGGGGCAGGATGAGAAGTTCCCTGCCCCACTCATACCCCCCAAAGCCATCTAATACCTTTTGATTCCTGTTCTTTTGCATGTGACTGTTTTCCTCTTTCTACAAACTTTAAGGATCATTTCTTTATCCACAGAGATAGAAAAAGTTATAATAATAAGCCTAAGTGTGGGTCTTTTTTCATGTTTTAGACTGGATATTCTGTGGACCCTTTCCATTTGGAAATCAGTGCTTTTCATCTTTCCATTCTGGGAAATGTTCTTATGTTTCCCATTTAATTTTTTTAAAAAGATTTATTTATTTATACAAGAGCTGGGGTACAAGCCAGAGCGCGGGAGGGTGAGAGGATTCACCAGAGACAGATTAGGGAGCAGAACAGATAGAAGGACCGAAATACACTGCTGAGGGGAGCAGCGGGCAAGACAGGAGAGGTCTGCTGTGCCATGTGGGAATCTCCCTGGCTGATCAGGAATCGAACCAGCACTGCCAGAGGCTGCAGACAGCTTCAACCCACAGTGCTCAACCCGCTGCACCACTGGGGAGGCCCTCCCATTTAATTTACTCACCTTTGTTTTCTCAGTTCTATCTTCTGGAACTGCTGTTAATTAGGTGTCAGACCTCCTACGTTGAGCTTCTATTTCTTATTATTTTCCAAACTTTTTTCAATTTATATTTGTATTCTCTCATTCTGCTTTGTGGGAGATTTCTTCACCTCTGCCTTACACTTCTTCTTTTGCAATTTTTTATAAGTCTGCCATCTTATTTTTAATTTTCAAAAATTCTACCCTATCCTCTGGGTATCCCAGCTACACCACTCTAACTCTTCATGAATTCAAGATCTTCATAGAACTACCTAAGGATATTCGTTTTCATGATGATAGAGGTTTTTTTTCTTCTCTGTCTGAATGTTTTCTCTGCCTCTTGCATAGCTGCTGTTTGCTGTGTTCCTTCCACCTGTTTCTCTGCCTTGTTCTTCATCTCTCATGTCAGAGCCTTATTTCAAATATCTGGTGATCCTAGCCCACCTGTTCATGTTTTACAAGGAGCCTCAGAAAAGTCAACTGGAAGCTGCAAGGTTTGGGGAGTTGCCAAGTTTGTCAACTTAGGGAACCCTCAAATATTAGTAATTATAGGTCTTACATCTTGAGCTCGTTCATGTTCCCAGAAAGGAACACTGCCAGAGGGTACCTGGTCTGCTCATCAGCATTCTGAGAGCAAAGGGACCGATGGTTCAGCAGGCAGAGTTCCACAGCATCCCCCACTTCTCTTGGCACCCCCAATCCCAGCTAAATATTCCTGTGTCCAGAGTCTATGTGGGTCAACCTCTCTGTAAGTAAACTGACAGCCTCTGTCAGACTTGGGTAGTTACCTGGTTATTATTAGATGTGGGGGCAGAGATCTGGACCCTAATTCCTTCTTTTATTAACTTTCAAATAGTTCTACTTTTCACTCTACCTGCCCCTTGCACCTCCAGAGGCTCCTGGTATCTGGGATTTCTGAGTTTTTCTGAGTTAAAAAGATGCCTGCTGCCCTCTCACACTCTCTCTGCAGACACCAAGCATTACTGTGAGAGCAGAATCCCGAGCTATTACTGCGCCATCACCTGCATTTCCATCTTCTGACTTGTAACATCTCTCGTCCTCTACAGTCTCCCCTCCTGTCCTTCCCCCTCGCCCCTTTGCTCTTGTGTTGGCTGGATTTGAGACATTGACAGCAGTGTGTCCTGGAGTGCATTTGCAGACCACCATGTTCAATCAGTCTCTTCTCAGCACCCTATTGGAGTCCAGCCTGAGAGCACTTCGCACTACATACCTGACCTGTTTTTTTTGTCTCTCTCCCCAGTACACTCGGAGGAGAATTGTCTTATTCATTTTTTTAATCCAGAGTCTAACACAGCACCTGATATAAAATATGCACTCACTAATTGTGTGCTGAATAGCTGGATGAGCAAATTGGCCTCAATCTCCTTCATCTCTAAGATGGGGCCTTGGAGCCATGAGGCCCATCGTTCTCTGCTTCTGTGATTGGGGAGAAAGTCCCATGGAGTGATGGAGTGAATGGGGTGGCTCCTGGGGCTGGAGCAGCTGGGCCACTTCTAGGAGGGTGTCACCTCAGGTTTGCATCTCAGAAGCAGCACCCATGTATCTGCCCTCCTCTGTTGCAGGGAGCAGTGTGTGCCCAGCCCTGTCCACCAGGGACATTCGGCCAGAACTGCAGCCAGGACTGTCCTTGCCACCATGGAGGGCAGTGTGATCACGTGACTGGGCAGTGCCACTGCACAGCTGGCTACATGGGGGACAGGTAAGGATGGTGCTGACCGTTGTCCTTGCTGTTCATGTTGCTCGTGTTCATAGCAGCCTTGCAGGGACTACTAAGGTATGCCAGTCCAAGGAAGGGCCAGCTTTCCCCTCCCTTTCTCAGAAAGCGCTCTGGGTCCTCCTGCCAGGGAGATCCAGCAATTCAGCTTTCCTGGCCCTGGGCCTAAAGAACATAGCCCTCCCTGAGCCCGGTGATCTGAACCCTGAACTTGCATCGACTTAGCTCAGGAAGGAGTTGAGGACCTACCACCCATTCTGGCTTCTGCCCTCCAGAGGGAGGCAAAGGTCATCCAAAGAAGCTGAGAGTGTAAAATGAGCTGGTACATTAGCACGATTTCTTCTAGAAGTGGATTTTTATTCCTTATTTGAGTTCAGTCAAAAAGATACACCACTATGCATCCTTTAAAGGCCTCTGGCCTGAGAGCAGACTGCACAAGGGCTCCAGGGTCCTGGAACCAAACCAGCCTGGCAGAGTGGATAAGCCTCAAAACACATAACTGAGGAATGACCAATGTGCCCTTTTGACACATTGGAAGGAAGACGGAGGCCCTGGTGAAAGGCTAGGTATCGTGGAAGTGGGAGGAACAACCAGCTCACTGATGGTGAGTGAATTCAAAGCTGGACAAAGACATTCTGCCCACAGACCCTGGCCTAGCCTATGCTCACCCCACTCTCAACCACATCTGCCTTCAGCAGAGGAAAGGGCTGTAGAGGGGGCTCTCACCCTCTGCAACTCAGGCTCTGGATTTTGTTACTCTGTCCTGACAAGATGTCAAGGAACATTTGTTAGTCATCCCCCTGCCTCCCCTGCCCAAGGAACTTAAGATCGAGGAACAGAGATCGAGGGTGAAACAACCTTGATAAGTCCTTCCTGCTGGGACCAGCAGAGTGAAGCTGCTCCAACTCCCCCTGGAGTCAGCTCCAAATCCTTAGTGAGGCCCAGAAAAGAGATTTTCCATTGCTAGTCTTGGGCGTGCTTCCCTCTCATCCAGAGTCTTTTAGGCCAGATGGGATCTTTTTGTGAGCCAGTGTTCATCTATGTGAGTGTTCATCCATGTAGAATCTGGGGTGCCATCCCTCCCTGACATCTGTCAGAGACTGGGTTTCTGGGGACTCAGCGGAAGGAAGAGCTGACCCCCTTCCCATCCTCACCATCTCCTGCAATAAAGAAATCCACAGGATGAGCCAGCAGGACCGGAACCAGAGACCCCAGGACCAGAACAGGAGCTCTTCATTTGGGTCCACTTTCACATGAACAGGAATACAGCCCACTTGTTGGAGAAGAGCAGGTCCCAGGCTCCATCTAGCTGGATGCCGTCCTACCTTGCTGACTCTTGACTGTCACTGTCAAAATGTCGCAAATGGGGAAATAATCCTAATCCTCCTCCTTGTTGGGGCCTGACTCATGATTGTGGGTCTCAGAAAAATCCTCAAAGCCTCAGGGCCCTCCAGCAAGCTTTGCTAATCACTACAGCGAGTTCAATAGGAAGAAGATTGGGTAGCATTTGGGTTTCCCCCCTAAACGGGCTGCCTGGTGTTTAATATTTTGTAAAATTACCTCCATTAATTTTGTAGGTGACAGCTGCATTAACCCACCCCAAATCATCGCAAGCATATTAAAGTTGAGTGGGTATAATAATGTAGGCCTCCCCGGATAGGCAGAATCCAATGCAAATTAAACACGAAACGTAACGAGGGCTTTGCAGCTCATTTTGTAATTTAATTGAGCAATGTATCTGGTTGTTAATGGTAATATCGGACACATTAGATTGATATGTTGCAAAGGAAGGATGTTTAAGTAGAAAACTAATTCCTGCTGTGATTACCCTTCTGTTCCACAGGCCCCGTTATTAGCGTGCTTTGTGTAAAATTCATTAACAGTCGTTGCTTGATCTCTAAATAAATAAGTTGTTTAAATTGTGAGTAGGAAAAAAAAAACGAGGCTGATTATGTAAATGGATTAGGTTGTCAATATTTCATCTGCAGATTCTTTTTCTGGGGCTAAGGAGTCAGTCACTTCATAAATATGGAAGGAAAGGGAAGCACCCTTCATTAGGGTACAGGGCCTGCCGACCTGTGGATGGGAACATTCCATTTCACTGGAATGTTCCAGTGAAAGGGAGGAAGAGTCACGCGTCTCCAGCTTGCACTCCTTCGCCTAACATCTGAGGCGTCCCAGAAGAGCCAAGCTCAGCGACTTTGGGGGAAATTCTGAGGCTGAACAGGGTCAGGCAGTTCAGATAGTGACCTTCCCCCTCTTCGGTGCCCTGTGTCCTCCCTTCCGCCTCAGGTCCCTTCCTCCACCCTCCTCCCATTTCTTTTCCAGACATCCCTTCCTTGCTCCCTCTCTTTTCTGTTATTTACCTTTCACAAGACCTCAGGTTGATAAAATGTAGCAAGATTTGCAGGAAGATGCTCTGAGGTTATCTCGGCCTCTTGTGACTGTATGAACCTCACCTGCTGCATCTCAGCTTCCTCAACTCCAAGGGAGGGCAACGAGAATGCCTGCTGCTTGGGGAGTTGGGGGCAGGCTTTGGGCCTGAGCAGCGGGGAGCTGCTGGCACTGAGGAGAGTGAGTGGCATCTTCCTGGCCCTCAAGGCCAGGCCACAGTTACCCTCCTCCACTTCCCGTCATTGTGGATGCAAGACAACAATGACAGAGCAAAGACAGAGACACCCCAATACAGTTGCCGAAGCTCATGCCCCACACGGGCTGCTTTTATTCCTAGGCACCCTCGGGCTGGCCTTGGCACATCACTGGGGGGTGGGCTGCTCACCCACAGATGGGCAGCTGAGATCACGCCAACACAGAGCCTCCCCGTCCTGTCTGTGGAGAACACTGATTCCAACTGAAGACTCCCCAACATTTAATAAAGATGCTAGGGCTGATTTTTTTAAAGGTATTTTACTACCGCCTCCCACTTCTACCTCCCAATTATTGCAGAAGACAGAAGAAATCTAGAAAATGGGAAAATATGACAACGAAAACACTTGGTAGACTCTGAGGCAAAAGATCAGAAAGACTCTGTTATGAGAACTACAGAAAACAGTATTAGCAAGAGAATAATCATAGTACATCTTACAAGGCCCTCTCCTGTGCTGACATTACACACAGTCTTATTTACTCTTTAAACAACCGGGGGAGGGTTATTACCATCCCATTTGATGGGGAGGAAGCAGATGTCAGCACGGCGAGGCCGCTCTCCACTCTCTGGCGCCACTGAAACAGTGTGCAAACACAGATAATCCAAACCCCCAGTCCAGGGGCCATTGCCGTTTGGAGTTACCCATCTCTTTACCCTTTATGCCCCCAAGTTCACCCCTTAACTTGTCTGAGTTCAGTTTCTTCACAATGAATGTGCTTGTCCTTGAGAAATAGCCCTGGGCTGGGGTGGGGTGCCAGGCATGTCCAGGGGCTACTGGCCACAGAAAGACCAGAAGCTGTCCATGAAATTGAACAATTATCTTTATGCTGGGAGCTCTGAGTACCAGCCACGAAGGCATGAGGGAGACCTAGTCCTTCTATGGGGTTCACAAGCTGATGGCAGAGGCTCAGCTGCTGAATCGAGGGGACTCCCAGGCCAAGAAAGAGAGAAGCAGCCCCTGACCAGGGGATTCCCCAGTCTGATGAGTGAGGACACGCTTCTACTTGGGAATTCCCCACTGGGAGAGGAGACACAGCTCCCTGTATGGCCAGGGTGACTACCTATGTATCTGCCCCAAAGACGAAAAAACAGACAATGAGTAGAAAAGAAATGACCACATTTCATCAAGTCTAACATGCGTCATTATGTTAGACACTGAAAATGAGAAAACTAATAATTATGACCTGCCATCAGTTATAAGACTGATTTCAGAGATGTTAAAATATATTTTTAAAACAGAAGATTTAGTGTTTAATGGGTGTGGAGAGTCGGTCTGAGAAGAGGAAAAGGTTCTTCTGGAAGTGGGTGGTGGGGATGGTTGCACAACTGAGTGAATGTAGTTAATGTCAATGAACATTTAAAATTGGGAAATATTACGTTTTGCTATAATCAAATATGAAGGGGGAAAGAAACACAAGGCCTAGACTATGAAATATGGTGGTACAAACTTGGCTAGGGATCTCAGGAAAGCAGGAAAGCATGAAGGGGGAGCTGGCTGGGGTGATGAGTCCAGGCCACTTCCTGGGAGAGGAGCCGGCAGGGGAAAGGAGGCTGCGAGGCGGGTGGAGCACACCAGCCCAGGTAGAGCAGCAGCATGTGCTGAATGCATCTGGAAGGGCAGGTGAGGGGCCTCCACAGCCTCAGCCCCGCTCTGCTGTCCTGCAGGTGTCAAGAGGAATGCCCCTTTGGGACCTTCGGCTTCCAGTGCTCACAACGCTGTGACTGCCACAATGGGGGCCAGTGCTCACCCACCACCGGCGCCTGCGAGTGTGAGCCTGGCTACAAGGGCCCCAGCTGCCAGGAACGACTGTGCCCTGAGGGCCTGCACGGCCCAGGCTGCTCCTCACCCTGCCCTTGTGACCCCGACAACACCATCAGGTAGGAGCGGGTATGGGTGAGCCCAGAGATGGGGCAGGGTGGGTGCTGGTGAGAAGGGGACTTTCCAGGGCACAGACCCCACCTCTGGCCATCCAGACAGAGTGGAGAAAGAGTTGTGACCTCACCATCACCTTTGCTAATCACTTTGAGGTAAAGAAGGCCAGCAGGACCACAACCCAAGTCACCGGGTGCTGGAAATAGGCCAACCTGAGAGGCCACCCATGGGAGCAAGGAGGGGGCTTGGTGACCCTTGGAAGCAGGGTGGGGGTGCCCCAGGCTCTGAGGGCACTATCCTGGAGAACATTTCCTCTCTAGGTACTCTGCACCCTACCAAGCCCTCCCTAACCGTCAGAAACCCAGAGATAAGTCCACCAAGGGAGAATAGGGGCTTGAACCACAGGAGGTCAGTTCTAGAAGGGACCTTATAAATCAGTATGACTCACCCTGGGGCCTGCAGAAGCTGTCCCTGTGGGCTCTGGCTAGGGTCAAGGAACAGGGAGGAAAGAGGGCAGGTGCTTGGCTTGGGGTCAGCTCTCCCTGTACCCTATGTCCTTGGGATTTGGGAACACCTGGTCTGAAGCTGGCCCCATGCCTGCTTCCAGAGGAGGCTAAATGGGGAAAGCAGAGAAACCAGAGCCCTGGGCTCCCTTCACTTCCAGCTTCCTGCATCCTGCACCAGCTGGCCCCACCCTCTGGTAAGGAATGAGCCCCAGATAAATGCCTCCACTGCCCTTTGGTTGTACACCTCTATCTGGGTGGGGGAGTGATGGGGAGTCTCCCTTTCCCATGAGGCCGCACAATAGTTCAGGAGGACTGGCTAGTTCAGGAGGACTAGGCCCACTCTGGGCAGTGGGCCTGCTGCTGATTGCCAGCCAAAGAGAACTCGGCTCTACAGCCCTGGCACTGGGGCAGTCATGATTTGGCCTCAGCCCCTCTTCGTTTCCAGAGTTTGAGTCTCCATAAAATCACTGTCCACTGCAAGCAGCTGTATCTTAGCAAGTTTTATGGCTTAGATGGAATGGTCCTCGGTCCTCAGTCCCTACAGCTGAGTGACTGTGAGGTGATGCCCACCAGCACAGAGAGTTGGGATGGAGACTGCCATGGAGTCACAGAACTGTCCTTTACATGACCTGAGCACCCAGTTTCTCTGTTACTCATTCAGTGAATACTGAGAACCCACAAGTCAGTCAGCCCTCAGGATCAGGCCTGGAGCAGTCACACACACTGGGCACCTGTTACCACATTCTCCAAAGACAACACACCACCTGAAGTGAAGCACAACTTTATTGTATAGGCTTTTTAAAAAGGAAAATGCCATCAACTGAATCATGATGGATCACTAATTGTATAGCACACCCAATGTCAGAGATGTGAAAATATGGGAGAAAGTGCAGCTTAGAATTGGCAAAATCTATGTGGCTGTGCATGCTGGGTCCCAACATGTGACCAAATAACTGTAACTCAGGGTTGTGTCTAGAAAGCACTACAGAAGATTGCTATTCTGATCTTGGAAGGCTTCCTGGAGGAGGTGGCCTCTGGGCTGGTTCTGGAGGGCCAGGTGAACACTCCAAGGCGTAAACATGGAACTCCTACATGGCTGGTCAGGAGACAGGACCGATGCTTCAACCTCTTCCATGGATGGGGGACAGTCCCAGGATTCCCACCCCTGCTGGGAAACCAAGGGAGGACCCACTCAGGGATAGGAAGCAAGGCTGCTGCTGAGTTTCAAGGCAGGGAGAGTCCCTTCCACTGAGATCCAACCAACCCTCAAATTAAAGAGCTATTGTTTTCCTCCCGTGCCTGAGCAGCCGTGCCCTGCATAATTTATTCTTCCTCTGAAGGAGTCCTCGATGCATTATTAATCTGGAAGGACTCCCTCTTCTCCGTCGCTAATCTCAGCACATCCAATATTGATGATTATTTGCTTTACTGTCTTTAATGCGTGTCATGTTTCAGGGATTGGGAGGCATAGCTGTTCTTAGGAGAGGGGGGTTCCGCGCTCCTCCTGTGCTGGGCTCCTCACAGGGAGCCTTGTCACAGCAGCCTCCTCAGGGCAGAGATGTCCCCACTTGTGCATCCCTGTGGCCTCGGTGTTGCACTGCACCTGGCACAGAGTAGGCCTTCAGTAAAAAGAATCACTGAGTTCACCTTGAACAGTCCATTTCTTCAGGTACTTCTGCTCCTGAGTTGATGTCTGCCTTTTTTTGTTTAATTTTCCGCCCTTCTCTTGGCACACTGCCCCAGTGACTGAGCCCCCCACACTCAGTTTTTGTTCAGTCTAATGCTTGGTTTCTCAACTTCACCACTACTGACCTTTGAGGCTGGGTAATTCTTCATTGCGGGGGCTGCTGTGGGTGCTTTATCACATCAATCTGTATCCCCGGCCTCTACCCACTGGATGTCACTAGCAACACCCTGCCCCCATGTTCTGACAACTAAAAGTATTTCCTGGAGCAGGCGGGGAGTGGGGAGCCAAATTACCCAAGGTTGAGATCCTCTGGGCTCTTGTATCTTGCAATACACTTGACTTTGTTCTCTTGGGCACAGACAACAGCACCCTAACTCTGATTGGATCCAGGTCACAACTCTCTTCCCCTGAGTTCGTGTCCCTTTAGAAACCTCTTGGGAAAGAGAGCGCTCCCACAACGCCTAATCCCACTCAGTTAAGCTGCAGGAACTGGGTGGCACCTGGGGCCCCTGAGTTCTGGTCTCAGTCTCTCTCTGAGCTGTGTCCTGATACCTGTCCTCTCTCTATGTCTGTTTCCTAATCTGCCCATCACTTTCATCAGCCCAATGTGGGAGAACTTCCCTTGTGGTCCTTGAAAATGAAACTTCCACCCAACTCTCCAAGAGGTAGAGCATGGATTCCCCAGGAGCCTAGCCTCATTCCTACCCCCCACTCCAACTTCTGCAAGAGCTTACAGCAGAGCCCTAAAAAGAGGGCTTGCAATACCTGAGCATCTCTGCTGGGACACAAAATACTCCCAATCCCCATCCAAAGAAAGCCAGACCTCATTCACCCTAGCCTCTCTCTGGTTTTGCACTTTTGGAGAGGCAGCTTCAAAGAGGTCAAATTCATATGCCCCATAGAAGGAAAAAGTAGCCAGTGAGATTCCCCAACATCCCACTCTCTTTGTAGCACATACAAAGAAACCACCCTCCCTCCTAAAGGAATAACCTTGAGAAAGAAGCATCGGGGTCAGTTCTCTTATGGGTCCCCGCCACAATTGGATTGTCATAGACAAATTCCAGCAGCATGATCATGTATTACCTTTGAAAGATTTGATTTAGCCAACAGATGCAGCATTGATAGAAATCTCAGAGCAGCCGACAGAAAGGCAGAGAAATCCCCCCCGAAAAGACTCCTATATTGTTCAGCTTTCGGCTCCTATTAACTTGTGATTAATCTATGTCTGGAGAAAATAAGGGGGAGGGGTCCTGGGAGAACTAAACAAACCCTACCAGCCTAAACACCAGCACTGTGACTTTTGCCTGAGCCTAACCAGCAGTCGAGTGCCTGCCAGGTGACCCCAGGAAATGGCTTATGCCACCTGGGGAGAAGAGTTGGAAGCAGGGAACACTTGGGGAAGGCGGCTGTGGCAGCTTCTTGCTTACAGTTCTCAGTCATGGTTGCTCAGTCAGCAGTCACTCCCCACCCTCTTTTCAGAGGATTTGGGAGATTTTACAGTATATGACAAGTAATCAAACTATGAAAATGGAATGCTCGTTTTTTAAAATAGAACTTTTTTTTAAAGATTTATTTATTTATGCATACAAGAACTGGGGTACAGGCCAGCGGTTTGGGAGGTGAGAGGATTCACCAGAGACAGAGTGGGGAACAGAACAAGTAGGTAGACCAAAGTACACTGCTGAGGGGAGCAGCGGGAGAGGCAGGGGAGGTCTGCCGCGCCATGTGGGTTTCTCCCTGGCCGGCCGGGAATTGAACCGGCACTGCAGAGGCCGGCAGACAGCTTCACAGCTCTGCGCTCAATCCACTGCGCCACCAGGGAAGCCCTAAAATAGAACTTTTAAGACATGAAAGGAGAAAGAAAAGATTTCAGATTTGGTCTTGAGCTTTCTGGTTCTCAGAGTATAAAGTCAAATCAGCACCAGTGCATACCTCTAAGCAGCCAAAGGCTAGCAGCTGAGGCACAACACTGCAGGGAGGTGGGGGGTGGTTAGAAAGGATACTAGAAACCCATGCTGGTGAGCTTCCTGGTAGTGGACTCGCAGGGTGGTGTTCCCGCCAGAACCAGTATCTGTAATGCAAGAATCTGTGGATGGGAAGAGCAGAGAGTCACTGAGACGCTTTAGAAACTCTGGGGCTTACCCCCTGGGTCCACGCACATCAGTCTCCACAACGGTGACAGCATCAGTCCCTCGAACCCTAAACCAGAACCTCAAAGGAGGTCCCTGGGAAGTTGGCACCCAGAAAGTCCATGCCTAAGAGCTGCGCTCAGAGCACCAGAGAGCAGTGCCACACAACTATCTGAGGTCCACCAAGCAGGAACCCCCTACCCCTGGTACCTGTGAGGCCACTGTCTATCCTTACAGTGCTTGGGGCTCAGGAAGGATCTATTCTGGAACCCCAGAGGCCAGGAAGTTTTCAGTCACTCATCCCTCAAACTCATTCTTCGTTTTCACATCATTATAATCTTTATTGCTCTGCATCTGTGTATAAGTATAATAGCTGATCAGCTTGGGGGAACTTAGAGAATACATAGAAATTTAAAGAAAAACTTAGAATCACTCATAATTATTCAACCCAAGGGTGAACACAAAAGTCATTTCATTGTAATTGGTTCATTCTTCATGCACATCTGTATCTATATATCTCTGTCTTTTTTTTCTAATTTTAGATTTTGACCTTGTTTACAATTTGCTTGTTTCATTTAGTCTTATATCATTAAGTAGTTTGGAACACATTTGAATATTACTCTAGTATTCCTTCATTTGTCCTGATTCATTCAACCAGTGCCCTGTTCTCAGAGGCTGCATGAGGCGGTGGACAGAATAGCTTAGAATCCCATCTCCTACTGGCCTAGCTGTATGACCTTGGGCAAGTCACATAACCTCCAAGTGCTGTCTGTGAAATAGAGCCTCTACTGCCTAACTCACCGGCTTATTTGAAGATTAGAAATACGTGTATAGAGTGCCTGCTGCTTTAATAGCCTGGTCACATATTATTTATTATTATTTAAATTGCTTCCATTTCCCTCTGTTATAAATAATGCTTCAGGGAACATCTCTGTGCATAAATCTTTCTCCACAACTATGATTATTTCTTTAGGATAGATTCTTAGAAATGGAATTATGAGACCAACGGGTCTGAATATTTTTACAACTCCTGATATATAGCCCCAAATTGTTTTCCAGAAAACTTCACCAGCATTGAGTGTCGTCCCTTTTTTAAAATCCTTACTGTTTTGATAGAGGAAAAGTGGTATTCAGTTATTAGTTTGACTTGATGATTAATGAGCCTAAATATTTTCCCAAATGATGATTAGCTACTTGCACTTACTATTCAGGAACTGTCTGCTCCTGTCCATCCCTCATTTTCCATAAGAAAATCAGAGCTCCCAAAATAGATTCAGTTTGGCTGGGCTCCACACAATTAGTTTGTTCATTAATTCATTGGCCAAATATGTACTGAGAACCCCCAGTGTGCCATGGGCTCTTTTGGGCCCCGGGGTGCAGCACAGAGGTGAGCTTGCTGGACGAAGGGCCCTTCCCCATGGAGCTGCCACCCGGTGAGGGAGATAGATGACAAACAAGGCCACAGACATGGAAAATCAGTACACCGAGTGAAAGTACTGTTCATCCCTAAGTATTTAATCGGGCAGTGAATATGAGCCAGGTGCTGGGGAGCCACTAAGGACCCCGGAAGACAAAGTCCACGTCCTTGTGGAACTTAGTAGAACCAAGACTTGTACCCTGGCAAATCCTGCCAGCCTTGAGCATGCAACTCGGGACCATGTCCCCTGGGCAGTACTGTGAAACAGGGAAGCAGGGGACACGGGAAAGCTGAGAGGCTTGTCTCTGCCATCCAGCACCTTGTCTGGAATGTTAGTCTACACGTCCCCAAAATAGAGGTCAATTGTGGAGATTTACTAGGGGAATGGCTGTCATGGAGGGGGGCTGGGGATGCTGAGAGAACAGCAGACCACAATGCAGGTCTGACCCTTCTGAAGGAGAGAGAGAAGAATGGGAGGCTGGTGGAAGAGGCTTAAACTAAAGCACAGTTTTGTTCATTTGTTTTCTGAGGTAGAACACCAAGTTTGGTAGGAAAGATTTTTTTTTAATTGAAGTGTTGAAATAAAGCCTTTCCCCTCCTTTTATTTTTTCCTTACATCATTGTAGTCTCCACAGTTCTCCTGTCACTATATCACCCATGAACCATCACCAATTCTCTTGTGCAGCACAGTTTAAGAAAGTTAAGCAAGAGGAGAAGTCTTTAAAGTCACCCATAAAGGAGTCCCAGATCTTCAAGAATGTGCCAACCTTAATACCATGCTGTGCTCTGGCTGGAAACAGCCCATGGGGAGGGCAGCCTCTGAGCAGATGTACTGATAGATTTCAGACACAGCAGCTGGGACTCTTGATTAATTATGCAGAAGCTCTGAGAAGCACATGGTCTCCACTCCCGATGTCCCTTCTGATCATGAATGATCACAAATAGGTTCCATCAGAGACCTCTGCCATCCAGAGGGTGCCCCACATTCTAGAGGCCATGTCAGACAAACCCTGCCTCCAGACAAGTGGTCCTTTCTCTGGCCTGCAAAGATCAGGGGTGGAGAAGAGCTTGTCATTATTAAAGAGCCCTCACGAAGCACAGATGGAGGGTGTCCCCTCCAAAGCAGACTTTGCCAGAGAGGAGAAGCCACATCTGCCTTGCATTTTAACTCTACAAATGTTTGCTGAGTACTTCCAATATGCAGAGCCATTGGGTCTCACTACTAGCTTCTTGTGCCTGCCCCCACACTAGGCATCCACCTTGAGTGAGGAGAGGGTGAAGCTCTGGACCTCATGGTCCATAAAACAAGGGGCTACACAGGCTGCCCTCTGCTTTTGTCTGTGTATTTGTTTTATAAAGAACCCTTGTTTGAGAGTCAGGCCATCTGACTGCGCTACTTTGTGGCTGTGTGTAAGGCGTTAGGTAACCACCACAAGCCTCAGTTTCTTGGGCCAGTTTAACCTCAGAGGCCCTTTGATCCTGTACCCTGATTTGGGGTGGGCAGACCAGATTTGGGGTGGGCAGAGGGTGGGACACAGCCAAATGCCTGACCAGACTCTCTTCTCTCTGCTCAGCTGCCACCCGGTAACTGGAGCCTGCACCTGCCAGCCAGGCTGGTCTGGCCCCCACTGCAACGAGTCCTGCCCTGCTGGCTACTATGGTGAGGGCTGCCAACTGCCTTGCACCTGTCAGAATGGCGGCGACTGCCACAGCATCACGGGGGGCTGCACCTGTGCCCCCGGCTTCATGGTAAGATGGGAGGGAACTCCCATAGCCTCCCTGCCCCTCATTCCCACACAAAATAGGGTCCAGCTCCTCTCCCATGGGGGTAGGAGAGGGGAGTGTGGCCCTGCAGCCAGGGATAAAGAATGGAACTGTCTCTGCGTCCTCTTCAGAGACAACCTGTGAAGGGAGGGCCCCCAAGACTGTTCTCAGAGGGCCAATCCTGCTGGGACTGGCAATTGTAAAAGCAGTAGGAGGATGAGGGGTCCTTACATTGTTCCCTCACCCTGAAATACACCCCCCCCTTGTCTTTTGTGCCTGGCTCCTCCCTGTCCCCATCCTTAAGCACACAGTATTTTTACATCATAATAACCAAGGTATACAGCTACAGTTTTGCATTCTGCTTTCTTTCACCCCATTTGCTGCTCAGGTTTCTTAATTATCATTTTAAATGGCCACATAAACTGCAGGAGCTGATGAACCCCCAGTTTACTCAGCCATTCCCTTGCTGCTGAATATTGTTTCCAGTGTTCACAGCAAATGTTGCAATGAGCATCTTCCTGCAAGCGGAGGTACCCCAACCCCACTGAATTGTTTCCTTAGGGTGAATTCCCAGGGGCAGTGGGCATAATGTATCTATGGCTCTGGATGGATGTTGCCATATTACTTTCCTCACCTATAAATCCACACTGCCACCAGCCGTGTGTGAATGTACCTATTTCAAAACAACTTTGCTAACATTCTTTCTTTTTTTTTTTTTAAATTTTTGCTAATTACATAGGTAGAAAATGGTCCCTCAATGTTGCTCTAATTTGCATTTCTCTGATTACTAGGGAGAATGAACCTTTTCCCACGTGTTTGTTTACTATTTGTATTTCCTCATGAATTATGCTGGTCTTTATGAGGTTTGATTCCAGGGAACTTGACATTGGAAGTGGAAACCTGTCAAAGGTAGAGGGGGTCCCGCCCAGGGGAGGGCCAAAGATCCAAACACTATGGCTCCCCACCTCCATGGTCATACTTTTTGCATAATGGAAGTGGTTTGTGCGGTAGAGAGAGTAGCCTTTGGAACCTGGCTCCACCCCGGCTGTGCAGCTCACCAACTGTGGACCTTGAGCCATGAGTTAACCTCTTTCAGGCTCAGTTTCCTCATCTGTGGACCACAGGCCTTGCAAGTTGCTGTGAGGTGTAGTGATGGGATATATAAAGTACTGTGTTGTGGCGCTTCTGACTTTAGAGAACTTGGGAATCATTTTATTAAATAAAGGGCAGGTTCTGATCCAGTAGATCTGGGGTGGGACCCAAGGTTCTGCCTCTGTAACAAGCTGTGAGCTGCTGCTGCAGGTTGGTGTGGGGCGGTCCTCACTCTGGGTAGGAAGGGGCTGTGCAGCTGTGGTACTCCATCTCGACTATCCATGAGCATCACATTGGAAGCCTTACTAACACATGCTAGAACCCGTATATATGGTCTGGGGGTGTATGGCTGAGGCCAACATGCTGCCGGGGTGGAGGCCCCTGCTCTGCAAGGAAGTTCTTGTCATAATATGGGGGTGAGGGCTTGCCTGGGGACACTGTGTTAAGTGGGAGGTTGCCCCTGGTCTGCAGAGCAAAACAGTTTAGCTATCTCTGCACTGCGCCAGTGCAGATAAAACTGAGTGAAAATGAACTGCAATGGCATCTTGAAAAGGTAAAGAAAGTCTATTCCTTCTGCCGTTTTCCTAATTTACCTTTACTGCTGTGAGCTTTGTCCATAATTTTCATAGAAAAAAAATGAAGTGCCCTAGGCTTGGCATTTGCATAGGAGAGAAGAGTCATTTGGAAGTAAAAATCTCACCTAACCCAGTGATCAGGTGACCGAGGCAGATGTGAACTGCCCACATCAGACTATGGTAGGGGATCCCCACCCAGCTCAGGTTGGCTCCCGGGGCAGTTCTATGACCTGGGCAAGTGGCTTCCTCTCTAAGGGGCCCAGTTCCTGTACATGTAAATGACGAGTGGAAGGATGAGGTGATTTCTAAGATGGCCTACTATGTGGACTCGATAAGCAAAGTCAGGAAATGAAGGAAAGTAAAAACAAGGAGTGTGAGTGTGTGTGTGCCCAAGCATCGGTGGGGCAGGGTGAGCAAAGGTGGAAGTTCATGGTGGTTATCATAGTCTGATTATGTAATTTGTCTACGGGTCTGCTCAGAGTTCCTCCTCCTTGCTTCGCCTTGTCCCCCAACTTCCTACCTAGACACTGCTCCCCAGAAGGGGAAACGAGCTGTGCGAAGACCTAGGGAGGCTAGTGTCTCTGTGCCCACAGCCACCAGGCCTGGGCTCCAACAGCCTGGGGTCCACGTCACTGCCTCTCTCCCTCCCATCTGGGATGCAAACAACTTCCTGCCCTTGAACTTGGGCAGACTTGGTGCTGTAGAAATCATCTCCCTGTGGAGTCCTGCCTGCCTCAAACTTGGGGCTAAGACAGATTGTGAACCAAGCTGCCCTGGTGAGCCCTTGTGAATTCCCATCCATCTTCTCCTGCCCAGCCTCATTATACCTGGAAAGGCTCTTCTGGAGCACTGTTGGGTGTTGAGCAGAAAGGTGATTACAGAACAGCCCATTGTTCTCATCTAGCATGACTCCTTGCATGCCCTGGCTCCCAGGGGGAAGTCGTTAAGTTTGCTCTTACTCTAGCTTCTGAATGAATGTGACTTGCTGCAATTAACTGGCTCTGATAAGAGTGGGGGATCAGGGTAATCAGAAGAGCAGACTTGGTTGAGACCCTCCCCCAAATGTCCTGTGGTCAGTAATAATTAGCCATGCTTTTATTTGTTGGTTGGTTTGTGAATTTATGAACCTGCCTTTTTCCTTGAAAGATTTTTCAGGATGGGCAATTAACTAGAGACTAATTAAAAGAGCTCTTTTCTTTGGAGGTCTTGATCTAGGCCCGGTAACATTGGACATGTGACTTCAATTTGCTGGACCTCAGTTTCCTTATCTGTAAAATAGGAGTCACATCAGTCCTGCCTATTATGAGTCAACATGGTAATGGGCTGGGGCCACATCCTCAGCTGTCTGCTCCCACCAGAGGTCTCTCTGCCAAGGGCACTTTAGGGAGGATGTGGGGAGAGCTTTATGAAAGCAGAGTCTTTCAGGGCTGAGAATGATCTCAGGCTGAACATAGTGTGAGGAGTGTTGATGGGGTAGTACAGAACCAGCGCTGGGAGCCCAATGATGTGACTACTCCAGCCAGGTAGCCCCGACCCTCTGAGGGCACAAGGATACAGAGCAGAAGCAAGTCCTACCTGGCATTCTAAGCATGTAACTCTCACACTCTTTTCTCCTTTCTTCCCAGGACACTGGGTATTTACTCTACCAAGGACATGTGAAGAAATAGGGGTATGGGAAGTCTAATCAACACCCTCCAGCCGTAAAGAGCTTATGCACAGCAGCAATCATATTCACAATAGCAGCAACATCTGTACTCTTTCCAAGGAAGTGCACTTTCATGTCCCCAATTTGTGAATAAGGAGCTAAAGTTCAGGAAAAGTGACTTACCCAGGACTACATAGCCAGTAGTGGTGGGAGGCACTGCAGTCTCTGTTAATTGATGATCTTTGGTGGACAGGTTACCATGGAACCCCGTAAATCTGAATTCAAATCCTGGTCTTCCAATCTCCACCCTGCCTACTGGTACCAAGTCACTTGTCTTGCGTAAGCCTGAATTTCCTCATCTATGAAGAGGACACTTTGCCAGGGAATAAGAAACTTCATAGTTCAGTGCTGGGAACGTAGTAGACACCCAGTAAAATGGTAGTGGTTTCTGGTGAACTATGAGAGTAGTAGGTTAAGATTAACTCTCTAAAGCCCAGCACTGCCCCCACCCCAGGATGAACTATATACCCTGCTGGGTTCTGCTGGAGCAGAACCAGGAACATGCATAGCTGCAGTTCCAGGCAGCACCACCCAAACTCCTGTGGGTCACTCTGAAAGGCCAGGAGACATTGTGGGGCGGACATGACTGTTGATATTTGGAAAAATAGATAGGGATGGAGGTGAGAAGTGAGTCTGGGCATTTTACATCTTAGCTTGGCAGCAGTTATGGAATCACTTGAGGCGTGCAGTGCTGAATTGCATTGGGGCTACCGAGTGGGGGGAAGAGACCTGAAAACAAAGCAAGAAATCGAGTTGCTTGCTCTGGTTCTGCTAAACGTGGGGGCTTGTACTTCTGGTCTGTAAAATGGGAATGAGATTCTCTGGCCAATAGAACAATGGTGTGGGAGCCGGTAATTCAAAGGAGAGTTTTTAAATTGGGGAGGGGCATTGCTTCAGCACGTTGCAGTCCCCAGGATCTTCTTGGGGTGCGCTTCTTTGGGAAGCAGGCTCTTCAGTGAGAACACTGGGGTGAATGGAATGGAAGAGGGCAGAGAGAGGGGTCACATGACAGAGGGGTCAGGCTTGCAGAGTCCTGGGAGTATCCATGTGAGGGGTGAGCCAGGAAGTAGGGCCATTTCTTGTATCCATCTGGATGGTAAGGGCACTAAGTAAAGCTATTAGTACTCTTGGAGAATGGAGTCACATCACCTCTCTCTGTAGCTTCTTGTTATCCTCTGAATAAAGCTGAAACCACATTCCTTTGTAGCCTGCCCTCAAAACTAGTTAGCCCACCCTAACTTCTGTTGCTAAGTATTATTGCAGACCTGTGCAGTGGCCACACATTACTCACTTCCCTGCTGACACAGTGTCTGCTTTGGGGCCTTTACTGTATTTTTTTCAAGCTTTCCTATCTTACAGAATGCCTCCCCACTGTCCTTATCTCAGTCTTTCCGGCAAAGATCAAAAGCTACCTCTTCCATGAAGCCTTCCCTGAATACTCCTTTTTTCAGAATTAAGCTTTCCATCTCTTCTCTTCCCATAGCAATGGCTCATAAGTCAGAGTGTATTGCCTCCAACCCTGCATCTCCTACCGCCACCACCTCCCATGCCTACCATCTTGTAAACATCTTGCTTAGTACACTCTCTTTAAATGAATGAAATTGTTGGAAGGA